TGGATTGTGATGAGTTGTATGAGCCTCTAATAAAATGATTTAAAAAATAAATTTATTTGTATATGTGTATATATGCACATACACATATGTTATCTATTACCTTCTAAGAAATGACCTCAACATGTAGGAGTGTCACATATTTGTTACTAAGTTAAATTTGCAGTATCTTAAATATCTATATCTCTTTACCTATCACTTCCTGAAAATAGAGCATTCCTATGAAACCTTTCATAAGCTGACATGTGTAAGTGATGAAGCAATTACCATTGACTTATATGGGAAATGTTTGTGAGTTTCCACACCCCAGAAGTAGGCTACCAATCATACCAAGTAGCACAGTTCCAAACTGTGGTGGCGTGGTGTGGAGATGAGAGCATGGATCCGGGCAGGACCATAAACGCCAGTCTCGCTGCTCCAGGTGCACACGGCCTCATAATGGCTTGCTGCCAAAAAAATAAACACACACACCCAATGTTGGTTTTATCCTTTACCTTTTTTCATAACAGCGAAAATCCTTTTCAGACTTCTTTTGATTAGCAGAAATAATGTAGGCATTTTGTAAAGACTAAATAATGCAACACGACGTGTGTGTGTGTGTGTGTGTGTGTGTGTTGTAGACATGGATGTAAAGTGCAGTGTGCCACAGAACAATGCTTTTATGGTGCCTGTTCCTAGATTGTAAACAGGACATAGCTTCTGTCCAGCTCTTCTTTAGGATATCTGCCCCAGAAACATAGCCCCCACGCTGGGAAGAAGCCCCAGGTCGCCTGTGTGGAGAGGCCATGCAGAGAGGGGCGGAGGCCCCTGCCAGCCTCAACCAACAAACCTGTGAATCACCAGACCCTTCAGGGGGTTTCCGCTCTTGGCCTTCCAGCGGAAGACTCAGACATCTTGGGGCAGTCCAGCCGCCCCTGCCCTGCCTTGTCCAGGCCCCTGATGCACAGACCCTGGAGATGAGTGCTCGTTTATACTGCAGTGATCCATGATTGCCTAATGTGTTCCCGGCCATAGTAACTGGTTGAAGGTGAAGTCAGTGCTGAAACGTACAGACACATTGTTATAGTGTGACCTTGTGTCATGCTTGGATGTGCCCAGATGAGTTTCCCCCTTTGACCATTCATTCCTCAGGTCCTTATTAGGCCAGTGACGTATAGCTGATAAGGAAATGCTAAGAGGTTTTAGGCAGGCAGCCATATGGTGTCTCGCCTTTTCTTTGCAAAGGTGATGGTGCCAGCTTAGACTTAAATTCCTGACCCTTATCTTCTCTCCGTGTTGTCATTGGTATCACTGAGCAAATGGGACGTGGAGCAAGTTGTTGTGCATACTACCAAAGGTAATTATGAGGCTAAGTCAGACAATACATTTATTCTCTCATCCCAAAAGAGTCCTCGGGCTTCTCCTGAGTGTTGGGTTCTTAGTAAGTACTGGAGTAGCTGATACGGTTCTGGTGAAATCACAGGTGGTTTGGCGGGGAGGCAGGACACCCTGGGAGGGTAGATCCTACCACTGAGGCATTGTGTGTATGTAGCAGACTTTCTTGGAAGGCTTGGGCAATGGATCACATGTTTTTACCTCTGCTTTCTTGATGCCCCGTGAAGTATCAGAGTTCTTTTGTATTTAAGTAGAAGCTTTTTAAAGGTACTTCAATAATTATATCTGAAGTTACCATCTGTATTATAGATTCTTAATGTATTAAGTTTGTTACTTAATTTTATCATCTTCCAGTATAAAGGCATTTAGTACTAGCTGGCTAATTCTCTAACTCCTGACAGCTTCGGATCGTGTGATTTACCAGATGGAATTCATCTGTATTTCTGGTTTAGACCCCCGAAGCAGGAACTAGTTCATGTTATTTAATGAAGAGAGCCACCAGCTGCATCTTATCTGTGATAGATGAGACTGGTGGAGCAGCCCTACCCAGTGTGCATTGCGGGGTACGGGGCGAAGAGGAGGCAGGGGCTTTACCATGGAGAGTTGTCAGCAGGAGTGCTAATGATGGAGTCAAGAGGGCAGGCTGTGGTGACTTAGGGATGGCACCTGGGTTTCATCACCTGATTGATTTGTATAGTAGTTTCTAATTAACAGAGAGAGACCCAAAAAGATGCCACTTTAGTGTGGATCAAAGGAGTCTTGGTGTGTAGTGGTTACAAATTGGGTTGCTAACTGCAAGGTCAACAGTACGAATCCACTGGCCTCTCCAAAGGAGAAAAATGGGGCTTTCTATTCCTATAAAGAGTTACAGTCTCAGAAATCCACAGGGGCGATTCTATGAGTCAGAAGCCACTCGATGACACTGAGGTTTGTTGTTGTTGTTGTTGTTGTTGGCTGGAGTCTGGATCAAGCTACATGTACAATGTATACCCTGAATATGACTCAGCTGCCCTTCCAAAAGTCAGCTGAGCTATCTATCTAAAGTACTTTCATTATTTTCTTTGGGGGTAGGGGGAAAGAGTATTTTATCGATTTTAACCTAAAGTCCTAATAGTAACACAAAATCACCAAGAAAAGGGTGAGGGGTATTGTTCTCTTTGATTTATTTGGTTTTTTAAAAAAGCTCCAAACGACTGTCTCAAACAGCTTCCTGTGTGTTTGCAGTGCAGAAAGGGGCATTTCTCTTCATCACTACTTTTCTTTTCTTGAGGACTGTCTTGGTTATCTAGTACTGCTATTACAAAAATGCCACAAGTCGCTGCCTGTAGCATACATCTATTTTCTCACAGTTCAAGAGGCTAGCAGGTTGATTTCAGGACAGCCACTCAAGGGAAATGCTTTCTTTCTGCTGGCTCTGGGGGAAGGGCCTGGTGTCTTTTCAGCTGCCAGTGCTTGGCTCCTTGGAGATCTCAGGTGGCAGGGCACCTGTCACCTCCCATCTGCCCTTGTGAAGTTTACTTGCTTCCTTGATTTTTCAATCTGCTCTTTTAATATCTCAAAAGAGATGAATTCAACCTACAGGAATAAGAGCTGCAGCACAAATAGTATGTGTACACTCCTGGTCTTCACAACACTACTCACAATCGCAGAAAGATGGAAACCATCTTAACACCCACCAGTGGAAGAATGGTGCGTTCACACAGTGGAAGGCTCTGCAGCATCAAGAATAACAATGAATCTGAGCAACATTATAACCCTGATGAACCTGGAAGACACCATGCTGAGTAAAATTAGCCAAGGACAAATCGTGCATGAAGCCAGTATTATAAAAGTTCAGAAAAGGTTGTCACAAGAAGCAGATGTTGATGGTGACCAGGCTTGGGAGGGCAAAGAAGGGAAGGGGCTAGAGGGGGTGGTTGTTAGGGGCTATTGAGTAGGTTCCCCTCTGTACAACAAAACGAAACACTGCCCGGTCCTGCGCCAGCCTCCCGGTTATTCGTATGTTCGATCCCGTAGTTTCGGCCACAGTGTCAGCCCAGCTCATCAGAGCCTTCCTCTGTTTGGCTAACCCTCTCCTTCATCAAGCATCATGTCTTATCTCTGGTCTATTCTGATAACATGCCCAAAGAATATGGGATGAAGTCTTGCCATCCGTGCCTTTAAGGAACTTTCTGGCTGCACTTCTTCCAGAACAGACTTGTTTGTTCTTTTGGCAGTTGATGGCACTTTAGATATTCTTCGCCAGCACCTGTGAACTCGGGTGAAGGGACAGACAACATCCAAGAGGAGGAAGAGGAGTCAGGGAGAATGATGGACACAGGGTGAAATGTGGGAACGTTTGATGAGCTGCTGGCTGTAAAACTATCTGCTTATAAACCTTTGCCTAATTCACAATAAAAGTTTAAAAACATAAAATGAGACGTGAATTTAAGACACAGCCCATACTAATCCTGTCTCATTAACCTAACAAAACCCAGGCCCAAATGGGATTATAACCCAAGCAGGAGGGTTAGGATTAACAACACATATACTTTGGAAACCCAGTTCAATCTATCACATTCTTCCCTTTGGCCCTTAAAATTCATGTCCTTCTACTACGGATTGAATTGTCTTCCCCCAATATATGTGTTGTAAACCTCAGCTTCTTTACTTGTGGTTACAATCCCATTTAGGATCTCCTTTGTCTTTGACAATGAGATGGAATCGGTGTAGGTGTGTCCATCTTTTTTGAGACATAAAAGAGATCAAATGAGCAATTGAGATGCTAAGCCATGCCACGTGCAGATCATGGGGTGCCTGGCAATAGATGCCCGGCAATAGAGCTGACGGACGAGAGAAAGCCTCAGAGCTCCTGTCCTAAATTTCTACTCCTAGTCTCCTAACTAGGAAGAAGGGTCCCTGGTGGAGCAGTGGGTTAAGCACCAGGCTGCTAACTGAAAGTCCTATGGTTGAATCTTATCAGTCACTCGGAGGAAGATGAGGCAGCCCTTCTACTCTGCCTTATGAGCAGGAATCCGCTTGATGTAGTGGGTTTGGGAACTGTGAGAACATAAATTCTATTTGTTAAAGCCATGTACTTGTAGTATTTTTGTTGTTGCAGCACTAGATCTACAACTGTCCTTATGTCCTCTGAACCCTGAGCAAAATTGCCTCCGATGGCCTTAATCCTACCAACTATTTCTTCAAGGAAACCTAGGGCTTTACTGTAAAGCACATCAGGATTCCTCTGGATTCTGTCCATCACAAAACCAGCTCCTCATTGTAAGTATCTGTTAGAGCAGCACCCCACTCTTTTTTCGAGGGGGGGCCTCGTACAATTCTCATCACAATTCATACATCCATCCATTGTGTAAAGCACATATGTACATTCGCTGCCGTCATCATTCTCAAGACATTTGCCCTCCACCTCAGCCCTTAATATCAGTTGCTTATTTTCCCCAGCACCCCACTCTTGGGGACTAAATTCTGTCTTAGTGATCTGTGGCAGCACCAGAAATATTACAGGGGATGGCTTTAACAAAGAATTTATTTTCCCACCAATTAGGAATTTACAAGTCAGAATTGGGGGCTCTGGCTCCTAGGGAAGGCTTGCTCTTTCTGGTGGCTAGGAGGAAAGGTCCTTGTCTCCTTTCAAGCTGTTGTTTTTTAGTTCCTCGGCGACCTCATGTGGTGTGGCATCTGTCTTCCTTAACTGCTTTCTTGCTGCTAGCTTAGTCTGCTCTTTTATATCTCAGAACTCTGTACTGATACTGCCTGATTAGCATGACAGAAAAACCTATTCTCAAATGAGATTATATAAACAGGTATAGTGGGATTCATGACACATAAGTTTGGGGAGAGGGCTAGAAAATTAAATTTAAGAGAGCTTTTTTTAAAACATTTTATT